CTGCCCCCTGCTGGACTCTCGGTAGTGGTACAGCTGCGGCTCCGAGGCCGGGGTCAGCGGTGAGGGGGACTGTAGCAGGTTAGCATAAGCACCAGCTAGCATCGTCTGATCGAGCAAGGAATGTGATTGGACCGCAGGCCAAAGCACATCTCACAGCTGTGTGTGAGCTTCCAGTCTGACCTCTGACCTCATCACTTTGATCTTTCCCTGCTGCTTCACTCACTGCTGGATCACCTTAATCTGCCCGACTAAAGACTCACACACACTAACACAAACACAAACCGTGTGGTAATTTGAACACCATGGCTTACCCCCCCAGATAAATCCGGACCTCTCCTCTCAGATCGTTCCTGAAACTCGATGCTCCAAGCTCGTCTCCACCTGCTGCACTGAAAACAGACAAACCTCTAGCCCCGCCTCCTCTCAGCTGCTCTTCAGCCTCGCGGACAGCTGCGCCGCCTCATAACTCGGATATTTGCGAGAGCTCGGCTTTCCTATAAGGTCGCATTCCTGCTGTCTCCTCCCCTGTGGAGTGCGACTCTGCAGTCATCCTCACCCTGATCGGAGAGGCGTACGATTGGCCTTCGTCCTCTCTCAGACTTGCTCAGTTCCCACCTGGCTAAAGCTCTCAGGTGAGAGCAGGTGCTCCTTTGTTCTGCGGTGTTTCGAAGCCAAACGTGAATCGCAGGAAATCATCTGAACGAGTTAAAAATCTGTAAATAAACGGTGTGCAGCACCAAGCCTCTCTCACTCTGACCTCAGAATAACTCACTTCCTGTGCTCGAGGTGGATCAGCTGATTCAGGTTGGAGCAGGTCATGAATGTCTGGAGCCAGGTGATCTGAGACATGATCCAGGTGAGCGTTCGACGCTAAAGAACTGGAACCTCCACGCAAAAACCTTGTTTATTCTCAGAGACGGTGGCAGGTCGTGATTTCAATCAGCAACAATAAACAGCTCATCTTTCATTTTATCTGCCAGCTTCTGCTGAATTTAGGTGCCATCAGAGGTGAACTTCTAACTGATGTCCAGCAGGGGGCGACTCACCTGGAAGTCTGCTTGCATAGATGCTCATCAGGAAGATGTTTACTGATGATTTTATGGTGTCAGTCACTGCTTTTAGGTCTGACTGAATAAAACATAAAACTCATTTTGGTCCCATTCAGAGGAGGAAGTAGGAAACAGGGAGTAGGAGAATGTCGCGCAGCGTCTCGCTCCTCGGTCAGATTCTTCACGTCCCATCTCAAAACACAAAGATGGAACGAGAAAACGCTCAGCTCAAGGTGTGATAACTTCCCTGACCAACGGGCAGCGTCACATGGGCCATCTTTTACCTGTAGTCTGTTGCCTTCAGGAGCTGTTCTGGACTGCTGTAGGCTCACAGACTCACGGTGATTTCAGTCACTGATCTGTTTTTATATCCTTTAATTTATCACACCTAAAAATGGCGGCTTGCGGCAATCTCGATCGCAGCGCCGAACGGCTTCATCTGAAAGCGACTAGCCCTCGCCCACAGCGCCATCAGGTGCTCTGCAGCACACCAAACACTCACACTGAAACCACAGAGCACCTCAGATTCACTCCAGCAGGTACAGGTGAGCTCTTCGTCCCACCGATCTCTGCACCATGGATGGTGTTTACAGCCGTCCCCCACCCCGCACCACAGGGGTACCATTTTCCTTCAATTTGTCACCTGTCAGGACATTTGAAGCGCACCTGCTGCAACCTTCATCGCGCAGAATGAATATCCTCACACATACATGCAGGTGATCGCATGACCGAACACCAGATTTCTGAGTTTAAACTGTTGGTGTGAGGATCTGATCAGAGTATTCTCACTAACTGTAAAGATGATCGGATCATTGATCAGCGCTTATCACTCACCTTCTTTCCATAAACTGCTCCCATGATCCTCGGAGCCCTGCTCAGGCCTCTCCCTGGCTCTGCGTCCTCCCCACAACTTCTCCTTCTTTTACTTTTTCCCAGCAGCCTCGGCGCCCCCTCCTCCGCCTTCCCCTCCTCTTGCTCACCCTGCTGCCTGGCAGCCTGACAGCCCGGTCGCTGGGCTCCGTTAACCCTGCAGACTGTGAGGCGACTCTGAAAACTTCATACCAGCAGGAACCAGAGAGGAGCGGCCAGCTGAGCACACGCAGTGCGACTGCGAGGAGGAGGCCACCTGTTCCTGCCTGACTCCCTGCTTTCAGCTGTGAGGAGTTAAGTAGCTCCGGCTGGATTAAAGTAATCAGAGGAGACAGCAGAGCTTTAAGTCTCCTCCTTACCTCCTCTCAGAGGAGTGCAGACAGTCTGAGGAGTTCAGCGTTCATACGAATGAAGTGAACCAGTGACACACATTTGAATATAAATGCTGCATATCGATCTGATATTGGCGCTGGTATCAGATCGATATTTGTTAAATCATTCTTAATGAACAAATACGGGTCAAACATGCTGAGAAACATGTGAACCTTTCTGTGGTTTATTTACAGCCTGCAGCACATTAGAAACAGGCACGTTTACACCCAGCCCTCCAAAATAAAGGCTGGGAGGTGTTTTATTGTGAAAAGTCAAAGTGACAGTGATTTAATGGTCAGTGTGTTTTGATGGTTCATGTCATAAATCAGGACACACTGCTCTGCCCATAATCAGCTGACTTTAAAAGGTAAAAGTCTTCAGTATTAACGACCAGACTGATACTAATGTTTGCAGTGCCACCCAGCAGTGCTCATCAGTCTTCAGCGTTCGGTTCCAGTCCGAGTTTCTTCGCTGGCAGAGGCCCGTTGTGTTTGTCTGGAGCAGATTTAGGAGTTCAAACCTCACACGTTTTTATTTCACTGCTTCATACGATTCTTTCACAAGTCCACATTTTATTTCAGCAGCTCAATTGTTTTCCTTTCCAGTCATGTTATCATAAAACTACACCCCAAACACAACCTTCATCATGCAGAGCATCCTGGAATTGATCCCCGAACTTCTGATTGGGTCACACTCACATGGAGTCTGCTACTGCTGCCCTCTGGAGGGCTGTCAGAGCACTGCGGTGCGATGGCGAGGCGCTCTTTACAGTAAAAACCAGTTTTAAAATTGATTTTGAAATCACCATCAGGGATTCTTGTTTAGGTTTAAAAGCAGCAGGTAACCTCAGAGAGCACCTCCACCGCCAGCTCGTCTCCTGCTGCACCTCAGTCTGAAGAACAGACCTCACAGCGGGAGCCATCACAGGTGCACCAGGACACAAGCCAGGGGGTTGGGAATCGCATCTGTAACCGGAAGGTCGCCGGTTCGATCCCTGGGCTCTCTGTCCTGGTCGTTGTGTCCTTGGGCAAGACACTTTACCTACCGCCTACTGGTGTTGGCCAGAGGGGCCGATGGCGCAATATGGCAGCCTCGCCTCTGTCAGTCTGCCCCAGGGCAGCTGTGGCTACACCTGTAGCTGCCTCCACCAGTGTGTGGATGTGAGAGTGAATGAATAGTGGCATTGTAAAGCGCTTTGGGTGCCTAGAAAAGCGCTATATAAATCCAATCCATTATTATTATTATTATTATATCAGATCTGGTTTTGAGTTTTAAGGACCTTCCGGGACCTTTATGCCCACCCTCCACCACCAAAATAACTCCACCACACAGAAGCTGGTCTTCAGACTGTATTTACTCATGTACACAATAAATTAAGCGCCATCCCGTCTCAGGGAATCAAACCTGCGGACACAACGTGCCCCTTATCACATGATCTGGTGTGGACCCGGCACAGGTTTCATGGAGACTACAGGTCGTTGGCGGGCGAGGTCTCCGGCTCGTCTTCGTGGCTCGGCCCCGACATCTGCATGAAGAGCTCCCTCAGTTCTGTGATGTCATCAGTGAGGGACGGCAGGGGAGGGACGGACCGCTGCTCGCGCTCCTCGATGAAGTCCCAGAGGCGGACGCTGTTCATGAACTAAACAGAGAGACAGAGTTTAGAGACTACTACACCCAACAGCCTTCCACTTATGGACAACAACAAGGACTCAAACTGACCCGCACACTCCCCTCCGAGCTCAGCTGCTTCCGTGGGCGCTCGGCCTCCGCCCGCGATCCGTCCGGGAAGGCGTGGAGGTACAAACACTTCCCACCAAACGGACACGAGCCACGGCCCTGATCAAAGTACTTACAGGCCTTCTTACTGCAAACACACACAGAGTATGACTGAAAGCTGAACACACCTTAGCTACCTTTGTTTTCACCACCTGAAAGCACATCCTGGAAGATCTTTGGATCCTCTTCATAAGCGCCTGAGAGCAGGTGGGCGTCACACAGAGAGGCAACTCACCCGACTCCGGACTTGAAGAGGTCTATAAGGTGGTCTTTCTCATCCTGGTCCTCCACCCAGTACATCGACGGGATGACGAACTCTGAGATGACCCGACACTGTGGACACGACCTGAAAGAAACAGAGAGGTCATCAAACCCAACCAGACCCATCCAGAGCCAGTCACACCCAGTCAGGCCCAGCCAGACCAAAACGATATGACCAAAACCTCATATCCCGATATGAGACATCTATCGTCCGATAACGATATAAATCACAAAAATGTAACATTTTCTATAAATTCAGTGAATCTCGGGCAGCTCGACCTGCGTGAAGTGTTTCCAGCTGCGCGTCATGTAGCTGGAGTCGAGTGTTTTAACCGATGCATGAAACGATACATTTTTAGACATAAGTTGTAACGGCGCCGTTTCCTTTGTGAGTATTTATTACACGGCGTGCTGCGGGGAAAAGCTGTTCTAATGTTTGAGTCTACAGTTTATTTTTTAGCACCTGACGGCTCTTTTTTGCTTCTCATCCATCAATGCTCTGCATAGTCTTTCACGTGATTCAGTTTATTTTGAAAAGTCTCAACAGGGTCCTGAGCTTTATTGTGAAAGGTTTATGTGGAACATAAACAAGTGGACATGCGATGGTTTTCCCGTCGTTGTTGTTAACGACAACACATAAAAACAGGCGCTTGTCCGTCCGTAGTGTGGTTATATTAAATATAAGAGAAAGAGAACTTTAAGAAATGAATATAGTCACTACAGCGATCATCAAAACAATGAGAAAATATTGCTATAAAAAGTTTATTTTGCAACACCATGAAACAAACGATAGCGTAAAATGAAACGATAGATGTTTTTATATCGTCATCCGATATACAGTGGAACCCCGACTTACGAAATTAATTCGTTCCCGAGGGTTTTTCTTAAGTCGGAAATTTTCGTAAGTCAAAGCACCCATCGCGACTTTTGAGTGAACGATAGGCTATAGGCTAATTGCTACCTGCAACAACAACACGTCGTTCCAGTGGAACAGCGAAGCGCAAGGACTAAGGGGGTTGTCACATGATTCGGAAGGCATTGTGGGCATTGTAGGCGTTCTGGGCCAGAGCCAGTGGATTTTGTTACGCGAGTATTTTGCCGTAACACAGGCTGAAATATTGCCGTTAAGCGCCTTCGTAACTTGAATTTTTAGTTAAACTGTTCCACTGTGTATCGCTATATCGAACAGCCCTATATGAGAACATACCTGAGTGGTGAATGACAGGTGTATAAAAAGTGTAATCAGACAAGGCAAAATTGGAATTCTGAAATGTTTAATGTTAGTCTTTAGAAATTACAGAACATTTAAGAAAGACTTCCAACTGGAGAATTATTTGTGTAGTTTGATCGTTTGGTATCCCAGCTGAACATATCAAAGGTTTAAGTGAACTTCTTATTTTGGGAAAGCCTGGAGATGAGTGTCATTATTTAATATCTGTAGTTATTTTAAAATACCTACCTGTATGATTTAGGTGAAGTTTAAATGTTTATGAGAGGAAATTATTATTCAGCAGACTTTTGTATTATATTTGCTCTTTGACTCAGGGAAGGATCCTAACGAGAGTGAAACAAAGTAAAGCCCCAATCAGATCTCACGAGACACCATCAGTCTTGGTTTCCCCCCAGTATACAGAGACCCAGTCCCTGACCCTGGTGCCTGACCCCTGACCCGGTCCTGTTGGATTCTTACTTGATGATCTTGTTGTGGAAGTTTCGGGTGCAGCGCCACTTTCGGATGCAGGACAGACAGAAGATGTGATTGCAGGAGGACAGGATGCCGAACCGGCGCTCTGACGGGTTCGCCTTCTGCACCACCACGTCCATACAGATGGAGCACACCTGAACAACAGGTAACTAATTAAGGCCGGTCACCAAGACAACCAATCCCAAAACAAATCAAACCCACCTTGTCATTGCTGAGCTGGGCCGCAAACGCCTTCTCCATGTCGGCCTCGAAGGCCAGCAGACACATCTGCAGACAGACACGAGATCATTTACAGCTGCAGCACATCTGTGTGCGCTCACACTGACGAACGCAAAGAGGTCACTGAAACGCCATGAGCATGCACACCTTCTCGTGCGCTCTCCTCTGCTCGGGGTCCTGGGGGTGGAGCACCTGCAGGCCGCACACCTCGCACAGGTCGCCGTGGAGATACGTACAACTGTCCTCATAGAAACAGCGCCCGCCGGCAGCGTAGGGACACAGCTGGGGGAGGTCCGGGTAGGCCCCGCCCACTGGAGGAGGAGCTGCAGAGAGCACGGGTAAACATCTTCACGTGCTACCAATAAGAGCCAATCAAATGTGAGGATTCTCAAGTCTTACCTCGTTCCTGCGCCGAGGCGTCTAGACCCGCCCTGATGGCATCCACGTATGAATGCGGAGATGCAGTCGCTGCTGCTGTGACCTCTGACCCCGAGTTGTCTGATGGGCCCCTGAACACGTCTTCGACGCCCAGCACTGAGAAAACACAGAGGGGGCGGGGTTACCTGCAATCATTATCGTGACTCTGTAAGAGCTTCATCGTCTCCTGACCTCTGTCTCTCAGCACCAGCGTCTTCTTGGCTCCGCCTCTGCCAGACCTACTTGCCCCTCCTCCTCTTCCTCCCCCTGTCAGGTCCTCTGAAGTTCCGCTCCCTCCTCCTCTGGATGACAGCCTGATGTGATCATACCTGCAGCACAAACAGGAAGTGAAATGAGTCACAGTGATGCAAACGTAGGTGAGAGGTAGGCAGGGCCTTACCTGCAGCGCTCTCCGTAGGCACACGCCCCTCTCTGGTAAAACTTGCAGATGGTGGAGGGTTTGCTGGTACTCGGGTCGTGGGAGAAGAGACAGCGGTTGCCTTCCCTGCACACGCCGTGGAGGAAGTACCTGAAACGCAGCACACCTGTGAGCCACAAGACCTGCTACTCTAGTGAAATCACTCTCGCAGTTTAACCTGTTACCTCAGTTTACTGTGTGTTTACTTCACATTCTGACCAATCAGGATCCTATTCTACCCGCCCAGGTGTTTCAGACCCCAGGGTGGCACAGAGAGGACATCTCTTTGTTGGACGGATGAATATTTGATGGGAGAGGTGTCAAACTCTTTGACTTTTATAAGACTTTATTTTTTACTTTTATTTAAATAACTTTCAAAACAAAGTTTTTAACTTGTAGTTTTGTACACGTGCTACATTTTTCATCTTTTCATCATTCTGTTTGTGTTTTGATTCATCAAAGATCTTACAGAGGCCACGCCCCCTTTGATTGAGTTTAAACAGGTGAGTTCTAAAAACATTCTCCTCCTGTGCCCTTATAATTGTCTCTGACTTGTGATATGAACCCCAGATAAACTGTTAAAGCCTTCTCCAGTATTGAAAAGTGCGTCATCTGCATACAGTGACACTTTTCCTTCTCATCTTTTACGTCCTCTTTATTCTGTAACAAAAGTTTAATACAGGTGTTACAAAGGGGGAAATTATCTCTAGAGGCCAGAACAGTTTGTGTGTTAGGCTGTAAACATGTTTATTTCTGCTGTAAAGTTTTAACATGTCAGTCTGTGGGGAGTGAGTCACTGCTGCCCCTGCTGGACACCAGGGGAACTGCAGTTGCAGTCTCAGCGGCTTCTGATTGGCTGTTTGACAGTTTGTTTCCCTCCCACCCCCTGTAACCTACCAACTACCTGAGAGCGCTCAGACTCGGACCAGCTTCCGGTGTTCCTGTGCTTGTTATTGAAGTTTCACGCCATCAGGGGCCGCCTTCATTTTCGCAGGAGGGAACGTTCACGTGACCCCGAGGTGAGCCTCGGGGCGGAGTCTGCCCTCTGATTTAAAGCTGCAGCTCTTTACGTGACTTTAAATCAGAAGTATCGATCCTGGAGAAGCTGATTAGTCTCAGCTTTCACTTAAACACACCTGGAATCACTGATTACTAATCGATCAGTCAGAGTTAGAGGCACACGCGCTGACGAGGACAGGCGAGTGCGGAGCTAAGAGCTAAAAACATTAGCACGAGGCTAACAGTCCGCGGACATCCGGGTCACACCAGCGCGACACCCGACGACACTCAGACAGATCAGACACACACACAGACACACAAACGCCCGCGCACGCACGCACCCTCACCTGCAGGTCACCTGTTTGGTGCTCATCTTCCCCGCGGACCTTCAACAACTGCTCCGAGCTGTCACCGCGGTGCGCCGCTTAAACCGCTCCGACGGAGAACGGCGGGCACAGCAATAAGGTTCCACTTCCTCCGGAAGTACGAACCCGTGGAAAGCGTCTCTTTTAACACAATAATCACAACACAATCAGTTTTTTTTTTTGTTATTTTGCAAGTGGGATTTTTGAAAAGCTGGAATGTGAAGGTCTCTGTGTGTTCGGTAATAAAATAGAGCTGAAAGTGTTTGAGTGTTTTCAGTTGGAGTTTCTTTGCCAGGGTCTGTCCCTGCTTCTTCTTTTCTACTTTTTCGTGCTCTTCATGTCGTCATATAAGCTGGTGGTGTTACCACAGCAGAGAAGTTTCCTTCCAACATGCGTCATGTTTGCAGTGTTTTCATTTAGTAGGTAAATAAATTCATAATATTCTTTTCACAGACCGGCAGTCATAAAGCAATGAACAACAATTACAACACAATAAAGAAAGAATCACGTTACAAAAGAATTTAAGGTACCCCCCCCCACACACACACACACACACACACCCTCACACACACACACACACACACACACACACACACACACACACACAAGAACAAAACAAAACACAAATAGTGAAAGAATATCAGCAGAAGGGTGGATTAAACCGGAAGTATTCAACTGCTCCAAGAGTCGACTAAGCTGGAGTGGTAAACTGGTAAACCGAATATTGTCTTTAATCGAAAATAAGTAGCCTGAACTCAGTTTTTATCAACAACAAGTTTTCATTCAAAAAGCTGATAAGCTTATTTGAGTTGGCTTAAATTAGAAAAAGTGGTGGAATGTAACTAAGTACATTTACCCCATATTGTACTTGAGTAGATTACAACTGCTTTACTCGAGCTTTTCAGAATCAGCATACTTTATTAATCCCAAGGGAAATTATGTGGGTTACAGTTGCTCCAGTACAGTAACATTAAGAAAAACAGACTGGACTATTTAAAATAATCAAATTACAGCATTTATGTTAGACGACTTTTAATTACCTGATTAGCCCACTGACACTGAGAATTTAAAAAAGATCTTGTCCAAGTGCAGCATGTTAACACTATTGGAAGCAAAAATAACGTGAAAACAACTTTCTTTTTTAAATTTTTTATTTATTTATTTTTGCTCTGACTGTATTGTGAGTCTGTGGTCTGGGAGAGAGTCTGTAACTCTGTCTGGAAATACAGTAAATAATGACCAATGCTGGGTAATTAATTATATAGTTACTTCTTCAAAAAAGTAACTGAGTTATGTAAACAACAAAGTGTTTTGCAGCTGTTTACCTAAAAATGCAGCCAAGGTGTTTCTTAAATAAACATTTCAAACTATTTACAGAACAATCAGCTGTTCTGCATCAAATCTGATGCCACACAGATTATTTGTGCCGCTCCAAAAATAATTTGTGTCCACTATGAGATGAAGGAGAACAACAGCCTGATACCTGCAGGCCTGACAGCAGCAGATGTGTCACTGCTGTAACACCTGTAACACTCAGCAGGCGCCTCATTGTTCTGACACACACAACACTACACACTAACTACACACTAACTACACACTAACTACACACTAACTACACACTAACTACACACTAACTACACAAGATTTGCGCTAAACGTCGCAAATCTCTCACATCTCAAACACGCCGTCACTCCTAAAACTTCCCCCTCCCTAAACAACTAACATAAGGACGCTGTCATAGCCTGTCAACCACGTTGATTAGCTGCATATATACGAATGTGAATCGCATCAGCCAGTCACTCACTGACTAACACTGCAAAACAGAATTGTTAAAGTTTTAATTTCAATTCAGGTTAGATTTGTTTTTGTGCACAAAGCAGATTTTCTGTGTGCAGAAACCGTGCCAGCAGTGAGGGAACATTGCTGAGGATGGATATCGTTGAGGCTGCTGCAAGGAGCTGTGACTTTAGGGTGGTTGGTGCCTGTTGGTGGTAATGAGCATGAAGCTGAAGAGGGGTCCTGTTGGGGTTCTGTTGGGCTTGGTCAGCCATCAGGTGGTGGCCTCCTGCTCTCACTGGAGCAAATCACGACTGAGTGTGGAGTGGCTGAAATGAGAGTCACCACCTCTAAATCTATGGCCACGATCCTCAGCCAGAAAAGGATGGAGTGCCCACTCTGCATCAGGGATGAGTTGGTGCCCCAAGTTGAGGAGTGTGTTGTTCACGAGAACGAGAGATGGATGGATTGGGGCCACAGCTGCAGTGATGTGGAGGGAGTCCATCCTGGTGAAGAGTCACTCAAGCTGGGCTCAGAGTAGAGCTGCTGCTCATCCACATTGAAAGCAGCCAGTTCACGTGGTCTGACAGGATGCCTCCTGGCTGAGGGGTTGTGGGCGTGTCCCAGGACCAGCACACTCTGGAGTTCCCCTGGATGAGCTACGGGGGAGGGAGGTGTGGGGGTTCTCTGCTTAGACTGCCAGTCTCCATGACCCAGCTGCAGATGAGTGGAAGTAAATGGATGGATGGCATCATGTTTATATCAAACTTACAATATTGTTTGGTAATAGTGTAATAACGCAGCTCGATTGTCTGTCCTGAGGTCTGTTCTGTAGCAAATACAAGAAAAACGTTTAAGAAAGCAAATAAGTCGGTGTTCTAAAGAATATGTTTGCTTACATCAGGTGAGAGGAGTCCTCCGTCACAGGTGGTGCAGTCAGTGAAGATGGTCACCTGCAGGATCAAGGTAATTGGCTCTCCAACCCACAGCCACTGCCACTGTACTGGAGGGGAGCTGGGACAGTGTTAAAGACTTTCTTCAGGCAGTAATGGAAATAAACCATCCTAAACATACTACAACACGCCAGCTTCTGTGTTGTTTGATCTGGAGACAATAAATACATTTATATTGATTATGTCAGTGATGTAACTACAATACAAAGCTACAGGAAGCCTAAACTTGGTGTAGAATAATTACATCTGAGACTTTGTTTCATTGTGAGATTATTAAATAGGCTAACAACTAAATATAACATTTAAATGTGATCATATTTGTCACGGCTGGGGGCAGTCGTGTGGTGTATTGAAAAAAGGATCCAAAATGCAGGTACTGGCTGGGGGGCGAGTGAGTGTTTATTTACAGCAGTGAGAAGGTGACAAAACAGGAAGAGCAGAGCGGGGAGTAAACAAACCTAAACTCGGAAAACTAAAGAACAAAACTTAAATCGATCGTGGCTCAAGAGTTGGGAGTTCGCCTTGTAATCGGAAGGTTGCCGGTTCGAGCCCCGGCTTGGACAGTCTCGGTCGTTGTGTCCTTGGGCAAGACACTTCACCCGTTGCCTACTGGTGGTGGTCAGAGGGCCCGGTGGCGCCAGTGTCCGGCAGCCTCGCCTCTGTCAGTGCGCCCCAGGGTGGCTGTGGCTACAATGTAGCTGCCATCACCAGTGTGTGAATGTGTGTGTGAATGGGTGGATGACTGGATATGTAAAGCGCTTTGGGGTCCTTAGGGACTAGTGAAGCGCTATATAATTACAGGCCATTTACAGGCCATTTAAACCAGACACTCATGGGAGGAGGAGCAAAATGCACAAAGAGAGATGGCAGAGAGACGCAGAATGAATACCGGGTAACAGAATAATGCAGACTGAGAAGGAATTAAACAGACGACACGACAGAGAGCACAGGAAAACACAGAGCTTAAATACACGGGGAGTAATCAGGGAATGGGCCACAGGAGGGAGACACAGCTGGGAGCAATTAGGCTAACGAGACAGGGGAGAGGTAAAACTGAACACACTGACATGAGACATGAACTTTCAGAATAAAACAGGAAACTAACAGACACAGAGACCCAGACAGGACACTGAACTTGACAGGCAGACTCATGAGCATACACAATAACACCATGGACAGACAGAGAGAACACAGGCAGGCATGAAACAAAACACTAACACATAGCAACCTAAACAAAAGACAAAACAGAATAACCGAGAACAAAGAATAATGTAAAGAAACACAAAACACCGAGTCCTCAGACTCAGGACCATGACAATATTTAAAATATAATTAAATAACAAAAGCTACAGTGATGACATTGTACTCATTTGCTGTTCAGTAGAACAGGATGTTGGATGCTCACCTGATTGTGGATTTGAAAATAAAAGTTTGTTGTTAATTATTATGTTTAAATCATACAGTGTTTATATTAAATGTTGTACCAGAAATCTCTAAAGTTCAACGAGATCAAACATAATGTGATTTAGTTGCATTTAATTAGTGTGTCAGCAAATTTTAAAAAGTTACCACAAATAGTTTTTGAATGTAGTAGAAGCTGAAATGTTTGTCAGAGGGTAAAAGTTCGTCCTGCACAGTCAGAAACTTTGAGCACGATGTCGTTATCTTCAGTAAGCATTACTTTTTTTGAGGCAACGAGTTTGCACAATTTTTTTAAGTTCTGGGAACTAATGAGAGCCTCGGTGCCCCCCCAACCCCACGTAACACTAATAGGTTAGATAGAGCGCAAGCAGCAGTGTGTTTGATGATGAGGTCGGTATGTGCGATCCCACAGACATGCTGTGAAACACGCCTGAATCTTTCCATAGTGCCTGTTTTATTTACAGCCACGTTAAAACTACAGAAGCTGAGCCGAGTGCTGACGAGCACATTTACATCCAGCTCTTCAAAATAAAAGCTGAAAGGTCTGTTTTATTGTGGAAAGTAAAAGTCACTGCAATTGGCAGATTGAGGCCCACAGGCAGCAGCTGGTGCTGACGGAGGGGAGGGCTGGTCAGCCGTGTCGTCGTGCAGGAGATCGGGGAAATGAAATGCGATCGGCTCATCTGGTGCAGAACCAAAACATGGAGGAGACGATCAGAGTCTCAGGACAGGAAGCTGCCCTGAAGCAGAGCTGCTTCAGTCACGTTCAACGTGATGATAAAACCGGATGATGTCAGATCTTCTGACCGTGTCAGAGTGACGGGAACCTCTGGTTTCCATCTAAGTGAAATGTGATTGGTCGACTTCCAGTGAGATGCAAATCTGTCATCTGACTTCGAAGCTCGTGTATCAGGTGTTCCTGACAGGTGAGACGGAGAAACTGAGGCGTGTCCTGTGTGCTCGGCCAATCACAGCTCAGTGACGACTGCAGTCAAAGCCGGCTGTTCTCCTTGTTCTCTGGAAATAATGACCGTTGTTCTCAAGTTTCTCTGTCTTTTATTTTGTATGGCACTTCCTGCTGTAACGTCTTCAGCTTATTCAAAATGCTGCTGCCCGTCTCTTCACTATCACACGCAGCATCTTCTCATCGTCGGCTTCCTGTTTATCACAGAAGTCCTAACGTTGGCTTATGAACGGTCCTGCTCCTCCATACCTCTCTGATGTTCTTCAGCCTTGTATTCCCTCGCCGGCCCTTAGATCAGCTGACCAGCTGCTTTTGGTTGTCCCGAAAACTAGGCTGGAACTTGGAGGAGAACTTTTTCAACTGTGTCTCCCAAACTTTGGAATACGTTGCCTTTAAATATGAGACAGGCATCTTCGCTTCCTGTTTTTAAGTCTCTTTTTCCGTTTGGAGCGGTGTGAGCTGATGTGCTCTTTGTTTTGTTTTTGTGCAGCATTTTGTGTTTTTAAATGTGCTCTTTAAATGAAAGCAGGCCTGTGATTACAGGACATTGAAATCCCAGAATGCACTGCAGCTCAGGTCCCGTTTCCGTGACAACACTGCCCACGCAGTCCAAAGGTCGCCTTGTTCGAGGGGAAAAAGTGACAGGTGAGCCTGGTCACGTGACCATCTTTGTGACTGCACCCACAACCCGATAGGCTGGGGCCAGACAGTGATGTTATCTGATAGGCTGTAACCGCGCAGACGGTTGAAAAGGAGAAGGAGAGAAGAAGAGGAAGGCAGAAGTCAAAGAGGAGAAACGGAGGAGCAGGACGAGAGGAGACGAGAGAGGAGGAGGTGATGGAGCGCAGCGTGATCCGTCTGACTCACTGTCAGAAGGAGATCTTCTGCTTCTCTGTGCCGGAGCAGTGCCCGAGCTGCGGGGAGGAGCTGAGGGGGAGCAGACTGCAGGAGGCGCCGGTCAGCCTCCCCTCCCCCTTCACCAATGGGCACAAGACGTCCTGCTGCCTGCTGGTCACACCTGCACACGACAACCTGGACAGGTAACACACACACAGGTGAAGGTACTCAGGTGTTTACACACAGGTGAGCACACTGCCAGGTACACAGTCAGTGTACCCACAGGAACATGAAGAAGTTTGAACCAGTCATCATACTGGACCAGGTGATACGAGTATAACCAGTGTACCCAGTAGAATTACTAAACCAGTCCAATCAGTGTATCCTGCTGTTTGATCCTCAGAGACTTTGATGGGGCGGCTGATCTTCACACCGGCATCTCCAACACCAAAGGTAGGTCTCTGAGGTCAAAGGTCACCTGGTGATCGTGGGCTCAGGTGCGAGCAGACAGGTGGAGGCTTGGTCAGGTGTCGTTTCAGCTTCAGATCAAACGTTCGCAGACAGTCACCATCCTCTCGCAATAGGACGCTACATGATCGCTGACCACGCCCCCGACCTGCCATATCCCTGATTTCATCTAATCAAAGACGTTCAACCACGTCTCAGTTCGGTCACAGCGACAGGAAGGACGAAGGCGAGTGCAGAGCGTCGGTGTCAGCCGGCGACTTTACCGACTGACACCAAAATCAAACTTTCAGACACGTTTAAACATTTCATTTATTTATTTCACACTTGGTCAACAGCTTCCACAGTTAGTTCTTTCAGACAAACCAACCACACTGTCTGTCAGTAAAGCAACCACGTGTGAAAAGCAGCAGGAAGAAGAAAATATTCTTATTAAACCCCGCCCCCTCTCTACAATCCAACTTATATTGCAAGCGGGCACCAAAAGTCAAGGAACAAACTAACATTAACATTTATCTCCGGTCCTAACAACACATTTACAATCAGAATATACCACTCCACATAGTAACAAGGAGAAAAGATGAGTAAATAAAATAATGGATCCTTTTTCAATGAACTCCAATTTCATATTGAGTTATCGTTTTATACATGTAACACTTTTTAAAACAATGTAAATTTATACAACTCTTTAAATGATGATGAAGACACTTCCACAGTCGTATACCTCTAACCGTTGGACTCATTAATCTTTGTGTAGCTGACGCTTAAAATAACAGTTCCTTCTGTCTTCTCCCCCCGAACACGTTAAAAATACTCTTTGTAACTTAAAAGGCAAAATATTATTTTTAGCCTTAAACGTAATTAATAGTGTCCGTAGTTTCACTAAATCTCCTAATTTTAATAATTTAGATTTTATAAATAATTTATTTTTATGTTCTCTAAATTTAACGTTATGAATCATTCATCTCAGAGAGATGTGATGTGATCCTCCCGCAGCGCCTGACAGATTTCAGCTCTGCAGCCAAACAATGATCAATAATCAATGTGATCGATGACCCGTGGGCAGTGATCAGAGTGATCAGCTCCTCCTACCTGTGTGCAGGTGTTGTGTATAACTACACTCGTGGCGGCGTCCGCAGGGATCAGAGCGGCTGGGAGCGCAGCATCAGCGTCCCTCTGGTCCGACCCGACATGTTCCACCTGCTCGCTCAGTGGGACCAGTACCTGGAGCGCTTCTCTGACGGGCCTATGTGGGACCCTGCTTGGCACAGGTAACTCACACCTGACCTTCCTGACAGTTTACCTGAGAGCTGTTTGAAGGCAGGAAGCTTGAACGCGTTCTGTCGTTATGAGCCTCCCTCGCTGTCAGACAGGTGACCCGCGGTGGTCGCCAGACACAGGCGTGTTTCGCCGCCACGGCGCCTTCACCACCATCACCACCATCACCTGCAGGTGTAGAAATCTGTCGACAGCTTTTCTCTCTGTGTGTCGCAGGTTTGATGAAAACAACCACAACTGCTTCAGCTTCTGCTTGCACTTTGTGAACGGCGTTCTGGCAGCCGAGGGCCGCGGCGCTCTGAGCAGAGACGACTTCACCCACACCTTCATCCTGCCGAGGATGAGGAGGGTGTCCAAATACACCACGCTGTACCGGCACATCCAGAAACACCAGTTCTACAAGGTGGACCGACAGCAGCACGCTCAGGGGGCGGAGCCCAGCAGCTGAGCAGCTGTCATTGGTCACATGTGACGCTTCAGTGTCAGACCTGATGTGCAATGAACTGACGTGCAATGAACTGACCTACGCACACACACAGACACACAGCTTTGGTTCATGTCTGTGTGTGTGAGGATTTGAACATGGGGCTGCTCGTCCTCCACCTGATCTTCTTTAGCTCGTTAGTTGTGTGAATTTTGACCTTTTGTTGTCCCTGAGCCACACCGAGGGTCTCAGAGGAAATTACATCTTTTATTTTATTCTGAAATAAAGTTTCTTAAATCACACTTCCTGCAGCTCTCTGGCGTGGAGCTGCAGGTTTTCACCCTCAGGGGGCAGAATGTGGCGGGATGGTCATCGCCATGACCGTGAAAGTACGACCATGCAGCATTTAAAGCGTGGAAGTACTCACATTACTTTGAGTTTTAGTCCATAAAAAGTGATAAAAACATTAGCGTCCACTGTACACTCTGCGTGGGAAGAAAACTTCTTACAGCGAAACATTAAACTTCAGATCTGAGCGAGCAGCGAGCACGCTGCCACGGGAACGTGACATTCACAGAGAAACCCCCGGATCCTCCCACTGACATGACCGCTGTGGGCAAACCTCCACCCGCCCCACTCCTGCTAAACTGGAGACAATAAATCTAAGAGCAACACGACTCAGTGCTGCTGAATCTGTGATTTAATTTCTTTTCTGATGTGTTTTACTTTCATCTGTTGGAAAGATATACACAAAACACGATTTTATTTTATATGCTGCAGGTGATAGGTTTAAATGTTAAACAAGTTAAACACTGTTAAACACTGTTGCATATAATTTAATATTTGCTTGATGCAAAGATTAAAACAAATAAAATAAATTTTAAAAAGAGACTTTTTCATTTGATTACATTGTGATGGATTATGCAGGAAAATAGAATTGGGCTGAAAGGTCAATTCTATTTTATTTATAGCGCCAAATCACAACAAAAGTCGCCTCAAGGTGCTTCATATGGTACAGTACATACAGAGAAAAACCCAACAATCATATGACCCCCTATGAGCAAGCACTTTGGCGACAGTGGGAAGGAAAAACCCCCTTTTAACAGGAAGAAACCTCCGGCAGAACCAGGCTCAGGGAGGGGCGGGGCCATCTGCTGTGATTGGTTGGGGTGAGAGAAGGAAGACAGGATAAAGACATG